TTCATTGAATAAACACTGAATTAATTTTACACAACCTTGGCATTACCTTACAGACGCGTGTGAATGCTTTTTATCTCGGTAGGAATAACTCGGGAGATCGCTCGGTTACAATTTGTTACTTTTTGTTAAATTTAACTTCACGTGTGAATCGGGTATAAGTCTTTTAGTAAAAGATCATACCACTGCTACCACAGCAACATTCTGTATAAAATATACTTACAATTTTGTACATCTCTGGGAATACGTATAAGTTATTCCACATAAATTCTCTTATTGCTGGGCGAACGACGACGTAATTCTTATTTGTTTTATTATGTTCCTGTACAATCAGTTCTAGGAATGGATCAATCACCTAAACAAAACAATAAGGGAATATTGTATAAATTCATAAATAAATGTTTCACTAACAACTATCACAGACAATTCTGATTAAACAAAAAGCAAAATGGAATTATAAGTACTGTAAGTAAATATCTATATTCTAAAAATGTCAAAAACAATCAATCAATAAAAAGTTATATACAGGTATTTTAAACATATTCACAGCACAGGTAATGCATGGTTATATTCAAGCTGCCAATGGAATCATTCCAAGTACCAAAACAACTCCAGGACTGTAGCCAGGGGGTTCCTGGAGGTTCCCCCCCAGGGTTTCTCCCCCCCCCCCCTTTTGACAAGCAAACCCTTTGTAATTTAAGCAATTACATTACTATTATTGTATAGTATTATTATTTAATTTATTTATTTATTTTATTTTAGTAGTAGTAGTATTTGTAAGAAAAAACTTTTACTTTGTTTTTACAATAAATATTGATGTTCAAATTTACTTAATTTCAGTGTTTTTACTGTGCATTGTTGCCAAATATTTGACATCTTGTGTTGAAAAAGAAGTGATCATTATTAATTTAAAGGCACTGCATACTAGAACTCTTATTCCCTTGCATTATTGGATAACTATCAAAATGTATAAATGTATTTCATTTTAAACTGTATGAAATATTTAAATATATGCCATACATGATTCAAAACAGACAGAGGAGAAAATAAAAATGAAATTTTATTGGTGACTGTAAACACTTAATGGGATGGTTAAATGCTTTAAATTTATATAGGAAGAAATATACATATCATAATATTTTTGATTTCAGAGAAAAAAAACCTAAATTCAAAAAAAATACCTGAAGAAAAGCTTTTATTTTTTCTGAAATTTCTTTCCTTTCTTTTTGTGGGAGGTGTGCTAATTGGCCAAAAATAAAATTTAATTTTTATTGAAAATCATTGTTATTGGTAGGCGGGGGTTCGCTAAACAATGTATAAAAAAGTCTTGTTTAAGCGGGAAGTGCATCATTTACTTAAGATATTTCTATATTCTTACTGTATTTAACATCCAATCTGGGCTTATCAATGTCAGCATATCATTCTGATCTATTCTGAATTTTAGCATTTCAAGCCACTCATAAGGTTTTATTCTCATAATGATTTCTATAAGCTGTTGCTTGTGTTCTGGTCTAACTACATTGAGTGGTGTCAACTTTGATTCTTCTGAAAGAAAAAATATTGGAGCATTTTTTAAAAATATTCTGATGGTGTTTAGATACAATAATATGAACAATAGAATATCAGGTAGGGCAAACATTATTTGTATTTATTATGTTTTAAATAATACTCATAATTCAATCAGAATTTGATGCATATATTGATGGTTTTTGCAATAAGAGTATAAATAGAGCAATCATATTATTGTGTAAAAAAATGTCTGACACCAGCAAATTTAAATAATTTTTTTTTTCAGGGTTCTATGGATGTTGCAAGCAATCATGTTAAAATTCATATTTAATCTGTCTCTTAAAATATTGAGCATGGTCTAAAGTGACTTTTCAAACCACATACAATAAGTCACCAGTGACAGACATTACAGTTATATATTATATAATATAATTATATTATATAATTTAAATAAAAGGTTGCCTTAAAGCATACCGTACCATTACTAAATTCCCACATGTCATTGTGTGGTTCCTTGTATCTCGCATCTATTCTTTCTCAATTTCTGAAGGAAACAAAAATAATTTGTTAGCTATGGTACTGAAATACTAATTTAAGGGTATTTTTTTAAATACGGTAATGTAAAGCCCTTTATATTCACACACCCTTAATTTTCTGAATGATAGTTGTCTTCAAAAGCAAGCTATAGCTAGTATAAAACTATTCCCTCAAAAAAGTTTTTGTGAAAATGTTGTTTCTGTGTGTAGTATTTTTTAATCATTCAATCACATTTTAAAAGTTAAATACAGTTTTTACTGTATGTGAGAGGTGTTGTATATTAGAATACAAATTAGAATGAAGTTGTCAACTAACTAGTGCCTTAAAATTATTCATATACTTACTACTTACATATAAAATTAAAATGTATTGCTCACAAACACCAATTTTTTATTTTAATACGCCTTTTCTTTGTTTACCGTACTGTAATCCTTGGCAGGCCTAGCTGTACGCCTAGCCGATATGCAGTGTGGCAAAGGAAAGTTTTTTTTTCTGAGCATGTGCAGATTGTGCTTATCTGGCTCATTAACAAAACAATACTGCACATAAGGCAAATTCAAGTTAGACGGCTTAAACCAGCCAGCTTCCTATCCTTGGTAACAGTTGTAAGTCCTTGAGTAAAGCATGCTAATATTTTCATATGGACATGGAAAAAAAAGAATTTTTAGCAAGAAGGAGGACTGGAGAATTTGATTTCTTTGAAAACCTTGACAATTTTCTGGCAGAATAACCAGAGTGTATCAAACATTAACAATCAAAAGAGCACTGAAGGATTCTTGATGCCATTCTCCACAACAAGATGTTGTTATGAAATGCTACACAATGCTGTATTGTTTTCTTTTTTCAAATGACAGATTTCTAAATGATAGTTACCAAGAATGTCCCCAAATGTTGACAGGTTTCATTGTGATTGAAAGATGTGAAAGTATATGGATGTTGAATACATCAAGGCCTATAGTTAAAATTGTATTTTTTTTTTTTTTTTCAATTGACAGATTTTCAAGTGATAATGGAACACCAAGAATGTCCCCATATGTTGACAGGTTTCTGAGTGACAGTATGAAGAGCTCAAGAAACATTGACAATTGTCAGAATATGGTTGAGAAATTAAAAAAAGAAATTTCTAGCCTGGAGTCTGATCTGGAATCACAGAGTGAGTCACTGCTTGGATTTTCCAATACTGAGCTTGACCAGATTCAGTAAGTACTGTTGCCTACTAACAGTTAGTAGCTATTTCAGCTATGACTAAAATTGTGTTATGGTGCTATTTTCACCCTTTTTATAGTTAGATAAGAAAAAAGGTGTCCAAGACAGATAAATAAAAAGTGACCAAAGTGCCGGACAATAGAAATTATGTGCAAAAGCATAGAAAAAACAGGATAGAAGGAAAAAAAGTCAGAACAAAAACAATCACTTTTCCGCTGGTGCTGGAAAAGCCAATAATTAATAATCCAAATTTATACTAGGTAAAAAATTTTTTAATATGTCCTATTGAATATTTTTGTTTTAATTCGCAAGTTTGATTGATGCAGCATACTGTAGTTATATTTTTTCCCCCAACAGAGAAATGTTGAAATTGGTTGAAAGAAAACATGGGTTTCAAACCGTAAGTTTACCGCCAAAGCCATTTGATGTAAGTTGAAAGCAAGTACATTTATGTTATACAATTTTAAAGATATTAATAACTAATAATATTAAATTGACCCTAGATTTTTTTAAAGATTTTGGGTCAGTTGACCTTGGAAAATACTTAATTTTTACTGTATCGTTTATTATTGCATAAAAGACAAGGCTAAAAATAGCAAATTACTATCGAAAAACGTGTTCGTCTGATAACAACACATACCAATTCTTGATTTTCAAATCATGTTTGCCTTATCTGCGGATCATCTGTAACACGCATTGAAATGGAGTTGCTAATTGTTAAGTGTGAATGAATGAAATTTTAATTACGGGAAAATAAGATTTTGATTTAAAAGCCCATAAAGTAGCAAATTATTTGGAAGATTGGCCATGCATTTTTGGCTCCGTTTTTAGCCAGCTAGATGCAGTATCAAGACTGTTAAAATGAGCAAAAAGTAGGAATTGGGACAGTGAAACAGGGGATCATCTTATACGCCAACATAAAAAAATCGTCCAAAAAATTTTCTCAAACTTGGGGGTTATCTTATATGTGGAGAGCCTTATACGCGAAAATATGAAGGTAATTGTTCTGTATTCCGTTTGAATGATCATTTTGTTTCTATCTGTCTTTCTTTTGGATAAATGTACTAATAAAAATTATCCATTTATCTCTCTGCTTGCAGAAATCCATGATGGTGTCACTGACAGGCATCCACTTTGATGACTTTACACGGAGGCCTATTGGACAGGAGGATGGCAGAATCGTAGTCAGACAACATCTCCTGGGTCATTGCCATCACATGCAGTTTGAGGTTGTCTTTGATGTCGAGGAGGTACAGGTAAGCCCAGAAGTTAGCTTCGCCTTCCGAAGTCTTATAAATATGGAACTGGTCTTATTATTATTATTGGAGCCAAGTGTTGGCTGTGAGGTTGTTATTGTTATTTTGCTTGGAAATTTACTAAATCTAACATGCATTTCAATGATATTTTATCATTTAACCCGGCAGATTTGAATGTCATGGAAGAAATTTACGCAATGCTTGTCATGTGACTGAAACAAAAGATATAAAAGCTGTCTTAAGAGCCCAATTCAGTTTCTATTAAACTTTACAATAAGCACTGTTAATTCGATTCCGTATTATGTATTAAAATGTGGTTTTCTACAATAACTAACGAAAAAATCGTAAGATGTAGGTTTTCATATTCAGTAACTAACTAGGTCCTCAGTAAATTGCAAAATGTTGACATTTGTAAATCAGTAGCTTTGAGATAAACAATTAAAATTAATTTGGCTTTATAGAAATTATTATCCAGCTTTCCTATTAATTTTTAGACTGTTACTAGACTCCCAGGAAAAGCAACGACAGTCTCCAACAAAACAATAGTTATTACACACTTGCAAATTAAAGTAGATCCACAGATTGAAGAAAATCTTAGAGAGTTCATCAACAAGTGTGAGAGGAGATTGAATTTGCAACCTTTCCTGAGAACGTACTCTAAATATGCTGAATGGTTTCAACATCGACGGAGAACTTATGGCCATTTCAAGGTAAATAATTTCACTAAAAATATTGTACTTTCGTTTTCACTGAAATTTCCTATTCCCGACTGATCACTAATCGATATTTGCATATCCTATGAAAGAAGCTCAAAACTGGGGTGATTTTACTACAGTATATTGCGATGGAATGTTTTGTTGCTAAGCCAAGCTATAAACATGCACAGCGAACCTAACAAATTTCGCTCTACGCCACTAGTTAACACAAATGAATCCTAGACCCTCCAAGGCTAGCAAATACCAAGTAATGTTACATGTTTTGTATTATTGATTTGTGTTGCTATTTACACATTTTTAATTAATACCACTGGAGGAAATTGCATTATATGAGGGAGATAATGTATCGTTAGGCTAGCAAACACCAAGTAATGTTACATGTTTTGTATTATTGATTTATGTTGCTGTTTACACATTTTTAATTAATACCGCTGGAGGTATGTCCCTATAACAAAGGTACTATCAAAGTTTAGGGAGTGAAGTTGCTTTATATGAGGGAGATAATATATCGTTAGGCTAGAAAACACCAAGTACTGTTACATGTTTTGTGTTATTGATTTGTGTTCCTGTTTATACATTTTTAATTAACACCTTTATATGAGAGAGATAATATAATAGTTTTGGTGGGCAAGCACCACAAACCACCTATACGGTTGCGTACCGTACTTCTCTCATACAACTTAACGCTTACACGTAGTGGAGCTGTTGTTAAGCTAGAAACTAGCTTGTAGGTCACAGCTATGAAAACATTGTAAATAATATTCAAATTAGGTTTGTTTTAAAACTGAAAGAATACATTGACCAAGTAGTAAATTACAAAAACATCTCTGGAGGGATGCTGATGCTAGATTACAGTAAATCAAATCAGCAAATGTTTTTGGTTATTTGTCTATTTTATTAAAGATTAAAAATATATCTAAAATAAGCATATAGCTATTCAACTATTTATGTATTTTATGTATACTGTATACCATATACATAAGTACACACACCCATGTAGGCCTACCTAGGGTTCGGCCTGCCTAGGCCTTGGCCTAGCCTTGTAAAACATATTTATTCATAGCCTAATATGTATTACTGTATAGAGTACAAAAGTACTAAGAATCAGACAGGTTGTGGTAAATCAAGTCCTGTCAGTAGACGTATTGTAACCACAACATTTCAAGTTTTAATAATGTTAACATAAGGTCATGGGTAAAAATAGAGCTAGCCCTAGGTAAATGTTGCCAACTGTCAGCAGTAAATAGGCCAAAAGGCGCCCAGCACGGCCAACAACATATGACGCAATACTGTACCCACATTTGGAACAAAGAGAATAAACAACTATATATATTTATAACTATAGTTATAAATCATACTAACTTTCCAAGTAGAATTTGTGTTAGGCCCACGCACCTGCAACAGAGATTATTAAAGTTTAACTTAAATCAGACAAATCTTAGAAAGCTTGACCAAGAATACTAACAATTTAATTCCGATCATTCAAACATCAACCATGCAGATGAAATATAGAAGTTTTATGTTTCATGTTGAAGGGCAGTCGATAGGTGCTGATGACATCCGGTGTTGTATTATAGAGGGCAGCAGATAGATATTTTACAATTCCAGATTTAAAACCAGCCAACAGAATGTAAAATACATTTTTAAAAAAATATAAAAAGTGACATTTAAAATAAAGTAATACATATTTTTAGAATTTATATGTAAACATTTAAAGATAATAAATCCTATACAACAAACATAATAAAAGCCGTATGGATTAGAACAACTGATCAAAAAAATATAAAAAGAGACATTTAAAATAAAGTATGTATATAAATATTTCAGAATCTATATGTTAAATATAATAATCCTATACAACAAAAGATAAAATATGGAACAACTGATCAAAATAAATATAAAAAGGGACTTTTAAAATAAAGTATATATTGTATTATATTTTTTTACAATATATTTTGCCTTTTATATTTTATTTTATATTCATGGGAAAATTATTGTTTATTTTTTTAAAAATAAAATAGTACATTTTTTTATGAGGCTCCAAGACTTTATGGGTGGGGACGTGTAACTGGCAATTAATTTTATTTAGCCATATAGACCATTGTTCTGAAGAGCTGTTGGTAAAAACGTTCTTTTACAACACACCCTAGAAAAGCCTCTGACGATGTTTACAAAAATTCACAAAAAAAAATAATTCAATTGATAAATTTATAATTACCAGGCCAGATGTTTAAGGAATGCATTGAAAAATAGATTTTTTTATAAACTTGTATAAAGATGTTTGTAATGTTCAGTCCAGTGAAATGGCTAAATTCCTTTAAATCCTAGGCTTACCCAGGTGGGTTGTTAATGTGCCTACCACCTGTTAAATCCCCCTTACTCGGCTGATTCAACGGTTAGATAATTTATATGATTTTAAAGCAAGTTTAACATTAATATGAAAGTAATAACGTATTCTGTGATTGGATAATATGAAAGTTTAATTTAGAAAACCCAAACTTGTGATATATATACTGTTAATAAATTTGTTGAACCTGACTTCGTGAAATGTACCTGTATGTAACAAGACTTTTTGTTATATTATTGTAAACCATGAGCAAAAGTATGAAATCACAAAGAAAAAGAAAATACTGTTCTAACTGTAAATAATACTAGCTTCATCTGGTGAGGGCCTATTTCATTAGAGGTACAGTACTCACACCTAGGATTGTAATGCTAAGCTACAGCATCGTTTATTTTCCATGATTGTTATACAGTATCATTATTATTTCCGTTATTATTATACATCTGATGCATCGGTTTGGTGTTTCTCTCGCCCATTATTGTTTTTTAAAAAAGGCACCATCTGTGATCCCAAACGCTACCAATTACCCATACAGCTGTCATCAATAAGATGACAGAATTAGGAAGGGAACCTGACTGTGAGCAACCCTTCCTAAATTCTGTTTTTATAATTTTGATTACCATGGGATCAAACAGTAGGAATATAACCCTAAATTCTTCTGTCTTACGCCCTCTCTGGAGAGGGCAGTTGGTGGTGTTGTTTAACCCAAATCTAGTTAGTACATATATCATTTCTTCTGGAAGTGTATGCATAATATGCAATTTATGGCCACAATTTATCACATAATATGAATGTATTTTATTGTCAATTATAAATTGGATAGAGGGGCTTAGGGAAGGACTACAGAATCAGATAGAGTTTTCAGACCATCTCGGTCTCACCATCCTTATTCTGGCCTCCTCATTAACATAGTTCACCCCCATTTCATAGTACAAGGCCCAAAAATATAATTAATAGTTCATCTTCATTCTGTAATATGAGGGACATCCTCATATTGAAATAGATATTCTTAATAAAAATAACACATAAATTTTGTTTGTAAACTACCAAAACTGACTAGAACAGAGAATCAACAGCCAATGAGTGGTTCACCAGCAGTTTAAGGTGCAATACCAGCCAGCTCATAATTTAAAACTTGCCACTTAGGGAATGGATATAAATTATGTGTTGCTGTTTACATCCAAGCTTTACAAAGATTAGGGAGTGAAGTTGCTTAATATATAAGGGGGATAGAGCAAGACTTTTTTATACCTTTATTCTTTATTCTCAACCAACAGTGTAAAACACCAATAATAGGTTGAAATAAAATTTTCGCAAATTTTAAATTTTAAAGATCGTCAGGGAGAGCGGAAAAAAATTAAAAATGATATTTTGGGTTTTTTTTTTATTTAGTAAAGAGTAATATAAATAAAGAAAATTTTTAATTTTTTTTCTGAAATTTTCTCTTTTTTTTTGTGCCAGCGGGTGCCTTAATTTGCCAAAAATAAAAATTTATTTGTATTCAAAATCATTGTTATTGACGGGCAGTGGGCTAAACGTGGTATAAAAAAGTCACACCTAATGTTAGGCATGCAAACTTACCAAGGAGTTTGAACCTGCTGAGTCTTGCTATCAAGGTGAGTCTCAGACTGTTAGACCATGGAGGATTTTTCCTCCATGGTTAGACCACAAACATGTTCTATTTGCAAAGATAAAACTCCCAGACACCTTCTCTCATACAAATGACATTATTGATAATAATAATAATTGTCAACTTATATAGCGCAAGTGGCGGCGCCAGCGGGTGGAAAGGGGGCTTAAGCTCCTCCCCCATCGTTCTGGTCAAGGGGGCCCCCCCATCATCGGCCAAAGCTTGTCGGGCATTTGGGCCTATAAAAAAAATAGGCCTAGTTTTCCCATCTTGTTTTGGGGGTGGTGGGAGGAGAAACTCCTTTCCCATACCCACCCCTGGCTCGGATCTTTTGCCCTCAGATAATGTTGCACACTATAGTTACACCCATAAATACTTAGCCCCGCCCAGTCGGACATCTTAGGCCCCCCCCCCTCATAAATTATATCCTAGAGCCGCCACTGTATAGCGCATATTGTAGAGACCTGTATGCGCTTAGCATTATTACCCCCAGTCATTGGATGAAGCACACACTCAGTTTCCTTCGAGAATTCCATAATGTTGCAGCTTTAATCAGCGCATGGTTGTGTTTAAACCTACCCACTTGCACTCCTGGGTGGAAAGAGACAACCGTAGGTAAAGTACCTTGAACTAGCGACTTGCACAGTGAGAGTTTCACTGACACATAGTGGAGCTGTAGTTAAATTAGAAACTAGCTTGGAAATCACATTAAATAATATTTAAATTACGTAATTATAAAACTGAAAGACTGTATTGGCAAACAAAATAATAAATTACACATAACACCTCTGGAGAGATAGCGTGATATTTTGCTAGGTATATTTATTAGATAAAATGAAAATAAGTTTTCAGTTATCAACCTTTGTAAGATAAAAATGTAAAATATGCATAACTTGTAGAAAAAAACGATATAACAAAAAGTGTTTACCTCCACACACAAATTATTTTAATAATAAGACACACACATTATTTTAATAATAAGACAAACAAAAAACAATTTCCTGATTTTCATTGCAGCTGAACTGGCTCACATAGACATGTAATTATTTAAGTCATAAATATACAGTAATACTGAATACTACGTATGGTACTGAATAGATATTTTCAGTTACCCTGCTGAAGTATTTCAAATTGGTGATAGGAGACCATCCAAATTCCCATACAAGGTATGTGTCTGTTCTTTTTGGTTAGTATTATCAAATTGGTTCGTATTATCAAAATATTTATCTTTTGAAAGTTAAATTTCAACTTCCATTTTTGTGCAAATTTATCTGCAAGGTGTAGCATTTTTCCCATCTCCTTTTTAGTGTTAGCTATTGCACAACATCATCAGCCCAACATAACTACTAACTCATACATAATTAACTCTCATGCCAAGATCATTTGAATATAGGATTTTAGTAAATTTGTTAATAAAAATACTAAAATTTTATATACTAATACTGTAATTTAAGCTTTATATAATAATAATAATTATAATAATGATGATAATAATAATAATAACAATAATAATAATAATAATAATAATAATAATAATAATAATAATAATAATAATAATAATAATAATAAGCTTTATTTATAACACAGAAACTTGGTGGATCAACTAACAGTTGTTAATCTGCTAGGCTGTTAGGCTTATATGTGGCAAAGACAAGCCAAACCAATCACTCGTCGCAAAAATCGATTTTGAGTTATTAATACAGTGTTAGAGAGTAAAATAATAGCTATAAAATGGTAAAAAAATCATTCAAATCGGACATTACCTTGTGAAGTTACAAGTGTTTAAACACACAGCTGTTTAAAGAACTATATATGAGAAATCAGCCTTCAAAGTTTATGATTTCAGGCATTTCTCATGCAGAAACTATTATTATCAAATCCTTAAAAAATGTTGTTTTAACATTGCACATTGGGAAAATAACAGCATAGAATGATGTGTAGGTATATAAAGGTTAGTTTAGTGCAATAAAATAGATTTTCAAAAATTTGACATTCCAGCATGATTTTGCCATTTTCTCTGAAACACGATTTGTGACGAGTGACTGGTTTGTCTTGTCTTTGCCACATATAATTAACTTAATTACAAATGATATTTACATAAATTTTGTTATGTGTATTTACAATATCACAATTATATACTTTTTAGATGAAGAAAATTTCTTACCATTACATCATCATTAATTTCATTCCAAAGTTTTGTACCTCTATATGATAAAGTGTTGTTTTTTTTGTAGTCAGTTTTTGGTTTTATTAATATTAATTTTGATTTATAGTTCTTATGTCATAGTAAGAAAGTATAATACATACTCCAAGTATTGAAATACACGCCATCGTGTTGGGATTCAATATTTCGACATTAATTATGTCATCATCAGGAATTCCTGATGGTGACATAATTAATGTCGAAATATTGAATCCCAACACGATGGCGTGTATTTCAATATTTGGAGTATGTATTATACTTTCTTATCTGAGATTAATCAGTGGACCTTTCGGTTTATGTCATAGTATCTTTAAAGACAAATCTGTTAGATGAATAATGAGGTGCAAGGTTATTCATAATCTTGAAAATAGTGATGGCTTCATTCATTTACGTTAGTCTAAATTCATCTATGTTATTAACTTAATGAACAATTCCATATGTAACACCCGTATTACTGTTGCATAACCAGCAGTTGCCCATCAGGCACAAGGCTGAGTTACTGTAGCCCATCTATGGAGTGCAGTTCTTGGCTGGTTGATTGTGGTTGCTGAATACCAGTGTAATTTTCTCCACTTCTGTGTAAGACATTAATAGATAAATATAGTATACAATACCATTCTGATTTTTGTGTGTTTGTCTATCGTTTTATTTAAAAAAAATGTATGTTGCTCTTTTTATTGAAAAAAATAAAATGTGATACATAAAAACCAAGGAATGGATCATCATAAATTTTAGTGGGATGCTAATGTACATAATGTTCGGTTTCCAGGTACAGGATAGAGATATGTACTTTATGGATTGACTGCTCTGGTTTAAAATATTTATTAACATGGTGATGCTCATAATTCTGAAAATCTATATTTAAAAAAAGTAGAAGATATAAACCCTAAACCCACTTTTTTTTTCATAAATATAAAACCATTAGAATGTAGATCTGCAATATTAGCAAAATTTGTAGGTATACATTTATAATTTATTATATTATATATCAATAAAAAATAACTATATTGGATACTATTATCTACAAAAGGAGATTCCATTAAAAAAATTTTTTAAGCAGATTGCTAACATGGTACACTTAACACTCACCCTGATATACTAGGTGCCTGCACCCTCAAACCTTTTGGTCCACAAGGTAGTAAGGGGCTTAGCTCTCCAATCTCAATCTGCTCTGGTACCCATGCTATTACAGGTAAACAATGATGTACAATTTATTAAATATTAATTAATTTTTATTGTCAATAAAGTGATAGTATTTAATGTACGAGTAATGAACATTAATAATATAAAATATATCGTAATAACAGTTTTCATTGCATGGACAACTAATATATGATTCTGAAGAAGAAATATAATCATAGTAACAATCAGCTTTATAATAAAACTTAAAATACTTTAAAAAAATTATTTTGAAAGTATTTCATGAATAAAACAATAATGTTTGGATTCAAAATTGTTTACCTTGGCTGCTTGGGTCCTTGGCACCTGGGTCACAATACCCAGAGTCGTAAATTCTTTCACTGCTATGCAAGAGTTGAATAGAAGTTCCATCACTGCATTATAGAAACCAGAACCAGATTAATGTTTTTAATGTAATGCTCATAATTGTAAAATTCTACAATAAAACACTTAAGTAAGAGCTAAAAAGTGTTAACTCACACACCAGTCTAGTTCATAAACATTGTAAAAAAAATCAGTGTAGATCTACAGTATTAACACAATTTATATATATTTTACTAATTAATATTATATATCAATAAAAAAAAAATAACTTTATTGGAACTATTTCAAAAGCGAGAGAAGATTTTTAAAACAGATTGCTAACATGGTACACTTAACACTTACCCTGATAAACATGGTGCCTGCACCCTCAAACCTCTTGGTCCACAAGGTACTAAGGCACTTAGCTCTCCAATCTCAATCTGCTCTGGTACCCTTGCTGTTACTGGTAAACAATGATGTACAATTTATTAAATATTAATTAATTTTTATTGTCAATAAGGTATTTAATGTACAAGTAATGAACATTAATAGTAATAAAATATATCATAATAACAGTTTTCAGTGCATGGACAATTAATAAAATATAATTCTGATTATGAAGAAGAAATATAATCATAGTAACAATCAGCTTTAAGTATTTTAAGTTTTATTATTAAGTATATCATGAATAAAAAAAATAATTTATTGATTAAAAATTGTTTACCTTGGCTAGTTTGGTCATTGGTACCCAGGTCACAATATCTAGAGTCGTAAGTTCTTCCACTGCTAAGCAACAATTGAATAGAAGTTCCATCACTACATCATAGAAACCATAACCAGATTAATGTTTTCAGTGTAATGCTCATATATTGTAAAATTCTACATTTAACAAATTAGAAAATATATAAAACACTTAATACTTTTTAGTTTCATGACACACACCAGTCTAGTTCATAAACATTATAAAACAATCAGTGTAGATCTACGGTATTAACAAAATTTATATTTATGCTTTACTAATTAATATTACATCAATCTAAATATAACTATATTGGAACTATTATCTAAAAGAAGAGATTTCATTTCAAAAGCAAGACTATATACAGAAACAGAGATTGCTAAAATGGTGCACTTAACACTCACCCTGATATACTAGGTGCCTGCACCCTCAAACCTCTTGGTCCACAAGGTACTAAGGCACTTAGCTCTTCAATGTCCTCCTGTTCTGGTGCCCATTCTGTTAAACAATAATAAAATATATCATAATAATAATTTTCAGTGCATGGACAAGTTCACTTTAATTTACCAAGTCGAGGTTACCAAGTTTTAGTTACCAATTTACCTGATCTCACGATTGAAAGTCAAACGCCTTAAACGCTGCGCCCCACGCTCCTAAAAGCTAGCATTTCCTAGTGGTCCTGCTATTATCAACAAAATCGACAACATTTTGACCGTCCTCACTTGTAATATTTTATTGTTTGTAGGCATCTAATCCAGTGTTTGGTTTTTTTTTTCCTTCTTTTTAGGTTCCTAAAGTATGGGCCTGAAAATTGTAATTGAATTAGTATGAAAAAGGGCCTCTGCTTGCATGTCCAAATGCCTTTGCTTCAGTGAACAAAGGCCTACGTAAAAGGGTGCAATTTTGAACTGGTGAACCAGAACCATGTTTAACCATTACCTTCTGCAAACTATAAAGTATGATATTCAAAAATAAACGGTATGCCTTTAATTGTTAACTAGGCTCAATAAAAAAATTTTAGTTTATCACCCTCTTGCCCATGTCTTCTATGGTATTGGAAAAAATATATAGGCCTAGTTCTGGGGGAAAAAAAAATTTTGTATTTTCCTTTTTTTATTTTTTTACTAAATAGTTAGTAGATAAAGCTTGTATTATGTTAATCATGTTTTACTTTGAACATCAATGCACTAGCAAACAACCCAAGGGTGATATTTGGCTTTAGCAAAATAAAAATAAAAAGCCTCCCTCTCTCATCACTTTTCCAGCCTAGATAGGGTGATAAACTAATAATTTTTTTATGTAGTTTGTTTTGTGTGTAGACTCGCACTTCCCGTAAATACTGAGAATTGCTTTTTGGTTAATATGACATAATTTTGAGCTATCTAGATTGATGATTTATTGTCTGAAATTAAGGTGACCTTGGATGTATCTATCATGCTAATGCTAACCCTTAGTATGTGTGTGAACATAGCTAATAATTTGTTGATTCAGAATTGTTTACCTTGGCTGGATGGTTCCTTGGTACCCAGGTCACAATATCCAGAGTCGTAAGCTTCATTGCTATGTAAGAATTGAAATAAAAAATATTGCAAATTATATAGTATACAATACCACTTTTAATATTATGTGTTTACCTATTGTTTATGTAAAAAATTATTCTTGTCTGTCTAAACTAATTTTACTTTGAATTTTGAAAAAGATAAAAATGAATGTTCAAACTTTCTAGTTAATTAAAAAACTTAAGGTGTAAACCCATGATGTTATGCTGGTAACTAAACATAGAACAATCAGAAATAAAGATCTACAGATTTAACAACATTTACAGTATACTCTACGGAAGCAAAACTGACTGACAAAAATATAAATTATGAATAAATGTTATAAATATATATTATATTTTAAAAGTGTTATTAATATAGGTTTATTGAATATTTATACACTAATTGACCAAAACATTTTGATCTCAGGGGTTTTTTTATACATAGTCTACTGTACTTCAGCAGGTTACAAGATATCACATTTTATATGCAGTAACGATGAAAATAAAATTATACTTGAATTAATTAATTTCTTGTGTAGGTTAAATTACTAGCTTTCATATCAAAATTAGAATGATAGAAACATGTTCATCACCAATTAACACACATAAATAATACAATACCTATATTTTTTACAGTGTTTCCTTAAATTAAATAATTATCGATAGATTTTTTAGTAAAATGTCAGTGTTTAATGTAACTTTTTTTATTTCATTCAAAACTATTCTGTTTACCAGAACAAATTATAATTATAAAAAATTAACAGACACTATACTATGCATTGCCTAGGTATACATCAGGTGAAGGTACATTAATAAATATCACGTTTATCATAACAGACACTGCTAGGCATTGCCTAGGTATGCAACATGCAAATATGCTAATAATTATCCCATACCAAAGTGAATAATATTATGCAAACAAGCAAAGACATTATTTACCAAAAGAAATACTTATGCCATACAATGCATTGCCTACTACATATATATAAGTAAAATATATTAATAACTGACTTACTATATCTGTTTACAACAAAAAAAATAGGGCTTTTCCACATTGCCATAAATGAAAAATGATGTTGAAATTGCAACAAAAAGTCTTTAAAAAACATAAAGTTAAAAACACATGCAAAAAGAAATACTTATGAAGTTAAAAAAAACAATGGAAACCAACTTCACGACTAATGTGACATTAGCATAGTTACCAACTTGAGAGATTTTAAACGCATGACTACACCAGATGGCTGAAAGGGGTGGGGCGTGTGGGAGGGGCCGCCGGGCTGCATTATATTTTTTCCCATACACTTAAGGCAGAAATTACAGAGGGCGCTATTATAGGTTAGTTTGGTGAATTGATATTCATGCCGACTTGCTCTAGCGAGTCGCGAAAGCGCAGTGTTCGCTGGCTGTGGAATATGAAATTGCCTGTGATGTGAAAGCTACGGTGTATGTAGTAAGGTAGGACAAAATCACTTGGAAGTTGGTCAAGACAGTGTAGTCGACACAGTGAAAATTAATGGACTAATGTTTAGTATTGTAATTATAATATCCCTATGCCTAGAAACTCTTTACGTACAGCATGGTCTTTGAAAGTTGTATAAAAAGCAGCGTTGAATCTGGTCAGTTATTTGAATAATGCAGCATAAATGTAAAGTACAGTATGGCATACATACAATATACCAGGGAATTGTTTTAGAAGAAAATTCTATGTACATTAGTGTTGTAATGTTGATTTCTCACAAACATTTCATTCATATTCAATATAAATAAAAGTAATAGGCACAGATTTATATAGCAATAAACATTGATTATACCAAATCTGATGATCTTCTATGATATGTCGTACTGTTTGTATTAAAGGCTGTCTACCCAATTAAAAAATTGAATAGCGTATTTAAAGTGATCAAAATCAGATGGAAGTAAAAAAAAATCCTTAAGTTACCAGCCAATGTATCATGTAAAAGCATACAGGAAATACGTTCACTGTCTGTTAATCGATGACAGGGATTTTTTCTCATAAAAATGTTTGATTGTAAAATTGTAAGTTAGCAACATGTGTCTAAATATACCTTCTTGGTCCGAAGTACTTGTAATTTGTCTCCAAACATTTCCAAACGTTTTATCTTTCAGAATCAGTACTATTATAGGGGGCATACAATTGCTACATATGTCATAATACTATACTGTAGGCCTACTCAAATAGCCAGATTCAATATTATGTTTTGAAAGACCATACTGTACATAAACTGTGTCTCATAGGCATACTATTGCAATTATAGGGACATCAATTTTTGTAATGTCTTAACTATCAAGGCCTATTTAACAGATTTAGGACTACTCCACAGTGTTCATCCACGCATAAGCATGATTATCAGTTCACTGACCTAAAATAGCACCCTCTGTTAATCTGCCGTAAGTGTATGAGAAAAAAATATGCTGCCGGGCCCAGACCCGGAGCCCCGGTGGGAGTCCAGGGGCTCTGGAACTCCAACCATCGCGATCTCAGCATTATTAAGCTGTCTTAATACGAATTTGGGGAGTATTTGTCGACAATACCTCGGGTACGGTACATAAACAAAAATATTTTTAGTACAGTTTCAATGTACTTTATGTTTAATTTGAGCACCCGAACTACTATGTGCACAAACATTTCATTACTTAAACAAAAAATGAACAGGCATGCTGATCAATTTTTAGTAACACGTTAGTGAATTTAGTATTCACCCTGGTATTCACGTATTCAAGTTACTGCATGATTGTTCTTATATTTCTAATAAAACCAAAATCTTCTAATGTTTAATACATTTTCCCCTTAATATTCATTATCACGCATAAACCTGTGCTAAATGCGTGATAAATTTATGATCAGGCATGTGTTTCTGCAAAATGTGTTTCATCCAAAATCACTTTAAAATGTGGGACCATCCCGCACGGTGCGAGATGGTTGGTAACTATGCATTAGTGAGACTCAAACATTGGTCAATGCATTTTTAGTTCATCTACCTTGAGTAATATCATGGCAATAATTCAGTGATTGAGAGCAAAAATTGTTCGTGCATTTCATAGTCATTTTGCGATTAGCCTAGTTGCAGCTGGTTTGAAATGCTTTAGTTAACGCAACTTTAATCACTCTACTTCCTGTCGTCACCAAAAATTATTAAAACCATTAAAACATGACAAACTATTCTAGGAAGTTCCATTATCATTGGATACATTTTTAGAAATATTTAGGTCTTGGACCTTTGCACTTTAAATGACCCTCAAATTAACACCTGAATCTGGATCGTCACTAAAATTCAATGTTTTCTTCCTTGTAACATGGTAAAATTTTCAGAAAGTTTCATTCAAATCAGTCAATCAGTTTTTGGGATATCTGGTCTGGGACATTTCCATTTAAATGGTCATCATATCCACACCCTACTTTGGATTGTCACCAAAATTTTTTTCTTTATTTGACATGACAAACCATATTGTCAAGTTTCATTTAGATCCATGTGAGTTTTTGAGATATTTAGGTCTGGGACGTTGGAATTGTAAATGACCCTCGAATTTATACCCGAATCTGGATTGTCACCAAAATAGTTATTGAAATATGTGGTCTGGGACATTTTCTTTAAATGGTCCTCATATCCACGCCCTAATCCGGATTATCACCAAAATTTAATCAATTCTTTATAGGACCATGACAAACTATTATGGAATTTTTCCATTTAGACCCATTGATAAAATGTTTATTGAGATATTTAGGTCTGGGTTGTTAGAAATTTAAATGGATCGTCATCAAAACATAGTAATTTCTTCTTTGTAACTTGGTTAAATTTTTCCGAAGGTTTCAGTCATACCAGTTGATTTGTTTTAGGAATATTTAGTGTAGAGTGTTTGCCTTTAAATCTCTTTAATTGGTCCTCACATCACACCCCACTCTAGATTGATATATGGTCTAAGCTTCATCAAAATTTGGAAAAGATCCAAGCATAGAAAGTGAGCTTCGTCAAAATTTGGAAAAGATCCAAGCATAGAAAGTGACCAAAGTGCCGGGCGGAAAAAAACTAGGTGCAAAAAGATAGGAAAAACTATATGTAAGGAAAAAAAATCAGAACAAAAACAAAGACTTTTCCAGCTACTGCTGGGAAAAGCCATTATCCCATTTACTAAAGTAAATAATACCGTATTATGTAAAACAAGTGCAGATACTCTTACCAAAAGGAATAGTTATGCCATATATGGGTTATATAACAAGCAAGGATACATTCATGATCACTGTACATGTTTGAACTAAAAAATATTCTGTGTACAAGGGTACTATATATTGTCTGAACTTACAGAAATTTGTTTTATACTGGCATGGTAAATGACAAAAACATAAAAAATAGATTGATGTAATTTACAAAGTATAAATAAATCTAAAACATGGAATTAATTCATAATACACAGGTAGCACATCATAACACTTTACTTACAGTATACTTTACTATTAAAAACATGTGTTAAGTTAGGGATGATTCATGAAGGATTGCCTATTGCAAGATGCTTTTGTTTGAGGGACACAAAAGTAAAGGGTAAAGGTAAGGTAAAGGAGGAGAATATCCCATAATTTACAGCATCATTGTGCTGAATTGCGTATGGGCGTGGTCCGTGACTACCTAGCAGCCGTAAAGAGGTGCTTCTTGGTAGGTACATGTTCACATCATTCCACAACAACAGGGGCTGAAATGAACCATAACATCGGGGTAACCCCATACTCTTTCGAAAGATGCAATGGGTTCTTTAAAGTGCACACGAGCCAGATGTAAATATTGGACCCCCATTTTAAGTCCTTATCTCAAGACTCAATTCTACCAACTGAACCATGGGCGAGGAGCGTCTGAAACCAGCGCCGATGTAAGGCTGTAGCTAGCGGCGCCCCTACCTTACCGCTCGACCAGCGCCAATGTAAAGGCTGTAGCTAGCGGCGTTCTCACCTTTCTCGCTCGATCTTTCGACTCGCAAATACCACATCAAAAAAGAGTACGTCC